TGGCACATGGACTGCACTCTACAGCATCGAGAATATTTTCTTCTTCGCACAATTCATGTTGAGGATTTTGTTCGTATTGTATACGAATGCTGGCGAGAGAACCAGTTCGTCTTAATGTGTTGAATGTACTGCTAATGGATTTAGGATTCGGAATCCTGCGATTAGGATAATGCCGGTGATATTCGGCAGCAGCGGCTCTTGCATTTCCATCACATACACCCAAAACAAACACCATATTGGCGTATTCCTCAGTGGAAAATGTGTACAGCATCTTAACTTGACAAAGTCTCCAGCCAGTCTGTTTCCTACAAGCATTCATGGACCCAACTACTACAATTTGCTACATGCACTTTCTGCACACTGATGTCACACTTCATAGGAAACAACACTTTACTTTTCATAAAATTTGAGTGTCTCCCCATGCCTAAGTACCATGCCATGAAGACATATATGAGACATGGTACTAAAGCCCTACATATTTACATCACCACTGAAAGCAGGTGTGCACTCAACTTCATGTTCTGGGCTCATTCACATGCACTTATTAGTGGGCAAGATGAACTCCAGAGTCATTCTGGACAGGGCAGTGAATACAAAAATCACAGTACCTGCGAGAAATCAAATCATATCCATATAGTCAAGAGCCTGTCACCTTAATGACTGAGCTGTAATGGTTCTCTGTAAAATTTATGAAGGTTTACAGATGCCTACTGTGCAAGATTTTGCTGTATACAACAGACAGCAAAAGAACCTATTCATCTTAAAGCAAACTGCACTAAAATAATGAAGGTCCTTATTTATTATGACATGAATTATACACTGCCACTGGCCACATAAAAGGTTCCTGTAACTTCATGATGATAACAGTTTCACTACCCCGCCCATTTCACATAAAAGCAAAACAAAACATCACTGAAAGTATGCATTAACTATACGGAAATAATGAAATTATTTATTCAGTCAATCTTATATTTGTATTTCTGCATCCTGCTGCACTAGCTTTATCACATGATAGGAGCACACATGTGCACAACATAGTCTTCAATGCAACTTCATGGTTTCTGGCTGAAACACCTCCTATTCTATATCTTCTTACAAACTAAATGACAAGTTTCAGCCACACAGGAGCCATCATTATTATTATTATGCCTATGCCCATTCTATCATGTCATATGGTATAATATTCTGGGGTAATTCAACTAATAGTGACCAAATTTTCATAATTCAAAAAAGAATAGTTAGAATAATAATGAGAGCGGGTAACAGGGACTCTTGTCGACCAATTTTCAAAGCATTAAACATTCTTCCATTCTATTCACAATATATTTTCTCAATATCTGTTTTTGTGGTTAAGAATATGGACAAGTTTGTAACAAATTCAGATATTCATGGCATGCACACTAGACGGGGTTTAGATTTACATTATCCAACCTGTAAACTGACTAAAGTGCAAAAGGGAGTGTTTTATAGTGGGATTAGGATATTTAACAACTTGCCATGTAGAATTAAAAGCTTGTCAGAGGACATTAAGAAATTAAAATAGTCCCTAAAAAAATTTTTGCAGGTGGGCTCTTTTTATTCCTTACATGAGTATTATGAATGGAAATCAAGGAATGATTGTGCTTCCTATAGATAAAGATTGCGCCTATTATTTGTCACATCTAGAATATAATATTATGTCTGGTTTTGTTTATAATTGTTGTGAATGGCACCTGATTTTTGACGTTGTTTGTTTCGGTGTCGTGTCTGTGATTTGGTTTGATGTGTTACTTGTTTGTGTTCTACAACTGTTAATGTACTACAATTATATGTGGCCTTTCTAAATGTCTTGGATATTTAATTTTTAACAATTTATCATTTTAAATGTACTTTTTATTGACATGTTCTATATCTCAAGGCAGCACTGCCAATTGTAGATCTCTGGAACGAAATAAATATGTATGTATGTATCATCAGATATACGATCCATATGAATTGTTATACCGTGTTTAGTATATGGGCATAAAAGAAAGCTTCAACCAATTATGTGGTTGAAATTTTATCTGACCTATTAAAATGATATAAAAATCTAATAACATATGCCATGGCACTCCTCTTATGTTCTGCTTTGGTAAGGGCATGCATTTTATGTGCCACACAGACCATAACACAGATAATCTAAACGCACGTAACAAAACAAAATTTTAAAATCAGTGGTTTAAGTAAAAAAAGATCTTCTGTTACAGCTTCCACCTGCTAAGACATACGAAACACAATGTTAACAATTTATGTGGATCATACACTTGATAATGGCCCCTGTGTGGCCAAAACATGTAATACAGTTCATACAGAAACATGTAATATGAGGTGTTTTAGCCAGAAACCATGATGCCTCACTGAAGACTGCATTGTGCATCCATATCACATTATAAATATTTCCCTGTTAACCCATGTTCTATGCAGTGCAACATGGTCATCACTTGATGCATTAAAACAACAGAATACTTGCTTACTTATGGACCTGACCCCTTCTTGAGGAGCCAACAAATCTGCAGCTACTCAAGAATTTCCCAGCATTTTATGGAACCCAAAGGTTCATTAACGTGTTCACAAGAGCTCTCCACTGGTCCCTATCCTGAGTCAGATCTATCCAATCCATACCATCCCATCCTACCTCTCTAAGATCCATTTTCATATTGTCCACCCACCTACGCCTTCGTCTTCCTAGTGCTCTCTTTCCTTCTGGCTTTCCTGCCAATATCCTATATACATTCATTTTCTCCCCCATTCCTGCTACACGCCCTGCCCATCTCATCCTCCTTCACTTCATCATTCTAATTCTACTTGGAGAAGAGTACAAGTTATGAAGCTCCTCATTATGCAGTTTTCTCCAACCTCATGTCACTTCATCTCTCTTCAGTCCAAATATTCTCAACACCCTGTTCTCAAACACCCTCAGCCTATGTTCCTCCCTTAATGTCAGAGACCAAGTTCCACGCCCATACAGAACCACAGGCAAAATTATAGTTTTGTATATTCTAATTTTTATGTTTTTGGACAGCAGATGAGAAGACAAAAGGTTCTGGACTGATTGGTAGCAAGCATTACCCAAGTTGAATCTCCTCTTAATTTCCTCCTCAGGTTTTGATTAAACAACAGAATATTGCTTGGAATAATTATTTTCTTAGTATAAACAGACCTGTTATAGTCGCCTAGCAAGAGATAAAAAGGAAGAAACAGGGAACATAATACAAAATAACTTCATATGTAAAATTTAAACTGTTATATGTCAGTAATGAGACTAAACAATACATGGCTGAAGGTGAAGTTTATGAAGAGGAGAAAATATGAGATCCTTAAAAACACACACTATTCTCCTATTCTTCTTAAAAGTTCTGCATAAGGCGTTTATCATATGAGTTACAGAAATGAGACCACGAAATGTGACTGTGTGACAGCCAACACAAACTATATAAGAGGTGTTTTATTGCAATTCAAGAAATATGTGCAACACTAAAGATAAAGTGATGAAAACAAAATTTATTGTCACATCTCAACTGCTAGCAAGGCATAAAGAAAATTACTTCTACTTCATTGGGCAAATTTCCCTACTGTTATGAGTACAAAAGAAGACAGACTATAATAAGACTCATTTCAAATAATACATGAAGTCTTCTTTGCACAGCCTAATTCTTTCTATTCTCAAAATCACCTTCTACTGCCAACTCTCTGAATTCTCTGCTGCAACTGCCAACTCCAGAACTCAACTCCTCTCAACAAAACTCTTCATTATAAACATTTTGCATGGTCCAAACAGAAAACACCATTTCCAACAAATCCACTGTTGTGTTTACTGATCCACTGCTTAGAAATGGGTTCTTCTATTGTTGTGTGCCTATCTGCTGCCATAGGAATGTGTTTACAATCTGTTCCTTAGAAATGGGTTGCCTAACACTGTTGCTTATTCGCCTATTGCATAACAATGGCTGTACATGCTACAATATTCACCAAATCTGATCTAAACTCCATGCAACAAAGTCCTTCATAAGCAGCCTGTCACTGCCCACTCAGACAAGAAATGAAAATTCCACACTTTTATGCAACCCAAAGATTTATTATCATGTTCACAAAAGCCTACCTCTAGACCATATCCTAGACTTTCATTAAGCTACTTCAATACAAATTACATGAAAATGTGTAAAGGGAGCATACACATTTTAATGTATATCAGAGGGTTTTAATCTCCTGATACTATGGGGTTGGAGGCTTCACTTTAACTTATAGATAAGAGTTTATCATCCATGAACATAAAATTTAATTCTCCTACTAATATAAGGCTGAATGGCTATTTTAACTTGGGGGTAATAGTATTATCATGGGTGAGGGGGGGCACAGCAACATTCAGCCAGCTGGACTGCTTATGTGCCACTGAAATAAAATACAATAAAAATTTAAATTTTGGGCTCTATGTATAGTCTAGAGTATTCAAAATGAACATATACTAAATTTCATCCTACAGTTTAATCTAAGTGAGCAATATAAAATACCACAAAAATCCATTTAGGCAGATAAGACCACTTTGCTTTCTTCAAACTTAAAATTCAAATAAAGTATACACAATTTCCAACAGTTCTCACATTCATATTTAACATCCATGTATGAATTCATGTTATTTCTCCAAAGTGACATTCACATGTAAATTCCCGACCCTCCCTCCAATCTCGGAGAGAAGCCTCAGTTTAACCCATTCGCACCCATTTTGGCCATGGTAACTTGTATGCCAACATGCATTATTGTCTTTCAAAGAAGACATTATCTAGTGTAAGAATGATGACTGTTTTACATTTAAGATTTGGAAAACATATTTTGAAAAATGTTTTGCAATGCAAGTCTTATTTGTCTCTCTGGAAGCTGGCAAGACCTGTCTTCAGAATGGCTTCTCAGCGAGGTAAGAACCATAACTATTATAATGAAACACACAATATATTTTTGAAGTTTTAGTACAAATGTGTACAGCGTACCTTCATAAGATGGATTCCAGGGCCAGTTCGGAGTGAAAGTGGCTGGGCGCAAATGGGTTAAAGATGGAGCTACACAGTATGGTTTGTGTTGAGGAAAATGACTTAGAAAGTCCCTAGAGCAGTGATTCTCAAACTGAAGGGTGCGCCTCACTGGTGAGGCACAGTGGAGTTTCAGGTGAGGCGCAATGCAGTCAGATAATTCTGCATCTGCAATTAATTATGAACAAACTTCATTAAACTTTCTATAAAATTATATTTGCAGCTACTTTAAAGCCCACACCCATATAAACAAGATTAGTCTGTTCTGTGTCTAATCACCATATCATGAAAGCATACGTGGAATGACGGCAAAGCTCCACACATTCTTAATCTCAGAAAGAGATGGAAGATTACATAGCCATATAACTGTTCATGCTCTGGTTACTTCCAGGGAAAGAAGTCCATAGCACTTGGTGCATAGAAAGCTGGCTGAGTCCCACAGATGGACAGCACACAGCAGAGACAAACCCCTACTTGTGCTGAGAATTCAATATCAAGATGGCCAGCCTACAACCAGCTCTACTGAGTGACCTATCCTGTCTCACATTCATTACACAGTAGCTTCATCTACTGAAGCCCATCTGCAGTGGATTTCCTGAAACTTTCCCAAAATGTGAGTGCAAAGGAGGACAGATATTCAGCACTTTTCCAACATTCATATTATCTGTTACCTAAATGTCAAAAATTTGCTCCATCAACTGAATAAAAACTATAGAGAAGTCGTTATACAGTTCATACAAAACATCCTATAAAACAACTGTAACAGGTTTGAGATAAAAATTGTTGGAAGAGTATCATATGCCACAGCTGGATCTCACATTCAATCACATTACTTTAAAAACAGCTTAATGGGTGGGAGAATCAACTGATTTTGAGATACTGAAATATAATAAAATTGCAAAGGTGGGTTCAAATTTGGACAGCACATACTGCCTGAATATGTTCCTTGTAATTTCACCTCAATTACCTTGCAGTTCATTACTGGAGATATAAATCTGTTATCAATAAGCTAATTACAATACACATTCCACAATAAATAATAATAAATTACTGTTCTTTCTACACAGAAAACCATTACACATAAAGTTGCAGATCTTGACAAGAGCAGTTCCAGAGATGAACATGCAGGCAGGCAGGGAGGCAGGCAGGCAGGCAGACAGACAGACAGACAGACACTACTTACATCCCATTATTTACTCATTTTATTCATGCTGATTAAAGAACATACAAATTAACTTCAATCTCTGGTGCTTGTACCTGAACCTATTCCATTCTTCTATTAGAAAACAGAAGGAATACATCTTTAATAACCTTCACTACCATGTCAAAAGCAGCCAGATTAACATGTTGCAGACATATTTGTTTTTGGTTGACATATGTTGTGCCCTTAATTTTACAGCAGATATCCTGTTAGAACATGAGCAGACAGTTTTATTACGAAAAGTTTGTGCAGATGATTCTTTGATAGCAATTTTAAAATTAAACTGACAATCATTACATTATGGATGAAGCAGACAACTTTCAAATATGGAGAACAGATTTAAATTTAAGGAACACATAGTCACAGAGCGCCAAGTAGGAATGGGTCTATGGGTTTTGTGTACAGCCAATGACCCTTCATCATAATATATCCCATGTCACAAAACCTATACAGAAATCTTTGTATTTGGAAAGACTTTGATGGGAGATAACTGGAACTAAGGACTGTGTAAAAAATCAGCTCTGATATTTGGATGCTGAACTTAGTTTTTGCTAATAATGTTAATCAATAAAGGACTGTCACTTGTTGGTGGGCTACAGTCACTTTTCAGAGCCACTGGAATCACTGCAAATTGCATGCCAGTTTCATGATGGAGGGTATTAGCAATATTTGGGCATGCAAGCCAATGCATATTGTTTTGTAACATATCTCAGTCACCATTTGCAGGGAAAGAAAGTTCAGAAACGGGTTATCAAGCGAGCCGGTGCCCAATGTTTTGGGCGGCAAATAGTCTTTCAAAAATGAAATTCTGTTTAATAAACTTGCTGCAGCTTTAACTATGTACATAAGTTTCCACAGAAGCATATGTCTTTTTGGGCATATTCACAACCCTGTGGAATGCCTACTTAAACTGCTCCAATCACCCACCCATCAATCCAATATTACACATAAAAAACTTAACAACCGCTGAATGGATTTTCATGCAATTTGATAGTGGGGAGTTTTACTAAAATTTAATACACTACTTTTGGTTAGAATTAAACAAACTGATGCTTTACATAAAGACATATATGTGTTTCTGCATGCAACTCAAGCACAACTCATTAAAATCTAGTGGAGTGAGAAATGTGCCAGACAAAAGCTGCTGAGAAAAACGAGACACATTTTATGCTAATATACTTCTTCCATACATCTCACAGTTTTGGTGATTACTAGACAAGAACTGTTATGCTACACATGTCTTAATTTGTATATTCAACTGCCAACATTTGTTTTCTGTTCACATACCAGATCACTGAACAATCAACAATGGTTCTTCAAATGCAAGCAATAACTACCAAAGCAATTTTATTCTCAGTAACAATTAAATAAAGCTGCCTCTCAGCTGAATTTATGGGCCTAAATGTGTATAAATATATATTTAATTAAAAATATAATTTTACATGAGGGCATACATACATTTCTGAGCTTATCTGAGTAAATACGAAGGGGGACCCAAAAATAACTGGAACCGACCTGTTGCGCGCGCATGCTTTGTAGTTACGAGTTGTGCTGCTAGGTGGTGTTAGCTGGGGGTCTCCCGCGACTGTTAGTGAGCTGGCGTCAGTCTGAGTTAAGTGGTTTGTCTGTGGTGCTCTGTTGTGTGCGTTCCTGTTTCAACCCTTTGGCGATTAGTGAGATGGCTGACCAGAAGGAACAAAGAGTGTGCGTGAAATTTTGCTTTCTGTTAGAGAAAACTGCAGCCGAGACTGTTGGGATGCTTCGGCAAGCCTTTAATGATGATGCTTTGGGGAAATCACAGGTCTACGAGTGGTTTTCCCATTTCAAATCTGGCAACATGTCAACAGAAGACATGCCACGCCCCAGGCGTCCTTCGACAGGAAGAAATGACGAAAACATTGCCAAAATCAAACGTGCAGTTGACGAAGATCGTTGAAAGACCATTGACCAACTTTCTGAGGAAACGAACAACTCATGGAGCATGGTCCAGCGAATTGGTTGCTTCACCATGACAATGCTCCAGCCCACACAGCTTTGACGGTCTGACAGTTTTTGACAAGCAACAACATGGTGATTGTGCCTCATCCACCTTACTCACCTGACCTGGCTCCGTCAGACTTTTTTTTTGTTTCCACGGATGAAGAGAAGTCTGAAAGGAAAGTGATTCCGTGATGTGGATGAAGTCAAAGAAAACACGCTAAAGGCTTTGAACAGTATCCAGCCTCAAGAATTCCAGCACTGTTTTGAACAGTGGCAAAAGCGTTGGGACAAGTGCATTAATGCACATGGACAATACTTTGAAGGGGACTAATATACAGTTCAATAAAAATGCAAAAATAAAAAATAACAAAAATAAATTCCGGTTATTTTTGGGTCCCCCCTCGTACTTCACATATTTGAGTTTACTGCAATAAATACTTCCGTACGGATGTTTAAGGCTCATCAATATCAATGGCTAACTTGTCTCAGAATCCTAGGGGAAAGTTCAATTATGAAATCCAGAATAAAAGTAGCCTGAAATCCTAAATCTATCAGACTATAAACCACACTGACATGACTGATGATAAATTCCAAATGAGGTCCTAAAATAACAACATTGAATAAAGCCAGACTTGAATAGAAAAACACAAAAATCAGCCATTTAAACAGAACTGGCAATCCCTGTACACTCTAAGTTTGTTGTGTAGCAGCCTTGAAGATGAAATATGTAAGCATTCCACCACAATGGCAAAGAGGTAATGCCACATGCTTAATTTCATGTATGACACACTAAGTCTTTGCACAGAGGCATTTAAAGGAAATTAACCTTTCCATCATGGGATGAAAGTTGAAGTATCATGAGAGCTTGCATCCAAGTATGTATGACACTGTGACATTTACCTGCTCACAAAGGGAAATGTATGCAACAAGGTCTGGGGGATTAAATGTTAAAGTGTTCAGAGCACAGTGCTTATGAAATACTCCACAATGGAAGTAACAGACGGAAATTCCCTGGCATCAAACATCACTAAGTGAGAGAAACCTGCAGTCAGCATGTCCAATTTTTCAGTTCTGTTGATGATGCAATATGGCGGAAATGGTATACTGAAGTGAAGAAAGATTTACAGGGTAGCGGGCACCGCATAAATCATAAAGAATGGGCCATTCAAATGGACTCCTATGCCTGGACTATAAAAAATATGGTCCAGTGTTGATGAGGTTCCAGACATCTGGCTGAGGTACACCGGTGTTTAAAACTATTTTTTTGCCTGCCCATAAAAACCAATCCCAAGAGAACATTCTTTTTTTTTTGCATACAAACTGTCAATAAAATTAAAATGGAGGGGGGCCAGGTTAACTGGGATATCAGTCAGACTGCCTGATGTCAATGCTGGTGGAAAATACACAAGGAACAGACTAAATGACAAACTTACATGATATCTGGAGTTGAGATTGGAGAGTGTCACATGCAACAGAATGGATACAGTTCTTAACCAAAACAGACAATCCTCCACTGGCCCTATCACCATCAAGACAGAGCAGTATGCTCAATAACTATGGAGGCTTAACATGTGGGGGCGACAAAGCTGAGTTTCCCGCAAATAACAGCTGGCTCACGATGTTGGATTAGAGCCTGTAGGTTACAGAACCACACATAATTAAGATTCCCTTCTATGAGGTCCATAATGTACGTTCAAAAGAAAAAATGTACAGAAACAAAAGATACAGCATTTCAATGGAAAAAATTAAGACTATCTCTCCATGTCCACTCTACTCAGGATTGTCAGGGCTGTTAGACTGCAAATGCGGTGTGCCAATGTGTCAGATGGGGATGCATTTTCTGAGTACCTAATCAAGACTGGGAACAGAAACCTGTTTTGTTAAGAGAGGTATTGTATATGCATTTATGTCCTGCTGATCCATGAGGACATGTTCTAACACTAGGCCCAGCAGGAATGGACAGGTCATTTGTATGAGTACACATTTT